AATTCAAAATTCTATTATTGTTACCTTTCATCATTGCTCCATACATTGCTTTGGTTTTCTTATTCGATCTATCAAATAATGATTCAGCACGAGAAACATCACTACATTGCACTGAAATCAAAGAAGAAATTACAGAAAAGTTAGTTTTTTTATTTTACTATAGAGATGAATTAATGAGGCTAATATATAAAAATCATTATTTATGCGAGAAGAAATTAGACGATGAATTGTTGAACCACGTTCGAGATCACAGATTTGTGCACATGCTTTTAAAGCTTGAGTAATTGTTGAACTGGATAATTTGTTAATATTATTTTCTTTATATTTATCAAATAAATCAAGTGATTTTCTAAACTGTTTTCGATCATTTAATAATTTCATTTGAACATTTAGATCAACATCGGATTTTACAGTTAAATAACGTTGAGTAAAAATTATCGGATTTATTGAACGATGTTTAAAGAAAGTATTCAACATTATTATTTATTTTCTTTTAAGTTGCTGCCACTATGAACAAATGATAATGCAAAAATGAAAAGAAAATCTTCTTTTTTTTTCTATTCAATATTTTGAATCGTATTCTTTAATCAATGAAAACTAATACTATGGTATACTATTATGTTGTGTTTCACATAAGATAATAATAAAGTGGTAGAGAAGAAAAAAAATATTGAATTGGTGCAACAATTAAACCATTAAGTGCTCAGAAGAGACTTAGATGGCGTAATAAGTATAATCAAACTCGAATGAAAAATTCGATGATAATTAACATGAAATGATAACAAAAGCATTTTTGAAAATCCAAATAAAATAAGATTTTATTTAAACGATATTCAAGATTAGTAGAGACATCTATTTTTTTCATGTTTTATTTATAAAAGTTTTGCAACCATTTCTGTATTAAGAAAATCAGCTTGTCGTATCGGTTCGCAATGGCAATATTTTGTTACTGATTTGAATATAACCCAGGATAGTGTCTATGTTACTTTATATTCAACACTAATATAAACAGCAGTTTTTTACAACACCAGTTACATTATAAACTAAGTCAAGAACATCTTCATTATCATCTATGACTTCAATATATTGAATTTCTTCAACTGCTTTTTCAGTTAATAAATCTTCTATTTTTTGTCATGTAACACCATCAATATATAAAGAACATTTTATTTTAATACATCAGAACATGAAACTCCACTTAAAACACTAAAACATGACGTAATACTATTTTGAATGTCAATTAAAGTCGTAGAAACTGCAACTTCACGAAATCCTATATAACTACTTAGGTCGAAGGATACGGTCTTTTTATGGCCGTTTACAGTTAATCTACTGACTGCATTACGAATGTACTATCGGACACAAAACTAGAGTCGTATTATAACGAATTTTTCACTGTATACGACTATATACCGTGAAAATAGTGATGTCCATTTTGATTAACCTGAATAGCTATATATCAAATTTTCATATTATAATTAACACTTATTTAAACTAAAATATTTAATGTTTCATGCAAAAATGATTATCGATAAAACAAATTTTTCGTTTTTTTTTAACAAAACTTATATCTAAACCGGCGGCTATAGTTTTTACCAATGTTTGATTTGATTAATATTAGTTATAATTGATGAAACAATATTTTATTGTTTTCTGATATATTTTGTAAACAAGATCAATTCCTTTTCTAAATGTTATATTTATACGTATCTGTTCGTCTAAAATTATATCGAACAGAACGTTTCTAACTTACATTTATGAAAGCTAACAGTATAGCTATGATTTTTTTTCTCAAAACATATTCATTAGATGAGAAATGTAATTATATACATGATAATGATGAAACCAGAATTTTGAACTGAGGAGGACTGAGGGAACTCAGGCCCATCTGAAGGACCTTTGAATTCATTGGCGAATAAGATACATGCTTCAAAAATTTTTCTAAGAGGTGAGAGGAGGATTCAAAGGTTTCTAAGACCCCCAGCTAGTCCGTGACTGTGCCACTATTACAATAAGGTTCATAAAATGCAATAGACATAAGTAAATATAATCAGAATCTATCATTAATAAAAGTTCTTTAAAACGAAATAACTTTTTGATAGATACTAGTTTTCTTTACTCTGAAAACATGCAAAGAAATATTAATTCATTATTTCTTGTCATATCTCAGTGTTAAGAGTTTGTTGTACTCATCGAGAATTCTAATGACTTCAAGAAAAAAAAAGCAAACAACTGATAAATGTACTATATTTTCTACAACATGGACGGTCAACCAAAACTTAATATGATCTCAAATCTCAAAAAATGAGTTTTGACTATTATTCCAAAACTTTGTAAATATTTATCTTAGTTAAGTCGTAAGTATTGAAACTCATGTGTTCGACTGTAGTCGTATTCTAACACACCATTGTGAAAAATTGCAACACAGTTTTCAAAAGAGATCACATAGATGAAGTTTTCATTTTAACTTATTTTTTTATTGTGAATGTTAAAGAAACTCTCAAGATATAAAGAAAAAAAAAACTTAAAAAAATTTGAAAAATTTAAAAATCTAGCAAAAGATAAAAGATAAAAATTTTTAATAGATATTAAAAACAAAAATTCAAAAAATATTATAAATAAGAAAAGTTTTTCTTTAATTAAAAAATGTATAGAAAATTTTTGATAATAAATTTTAAAACAATTATAAAAGGATAAATATCTAGAAAAATAACATGAATAGATAAAAAGACTTTTAATTTTGAAAAAATAAAAAAGTCGAGATTTGTTAAGCTAAATCGCATTGAGTGAAAAAATATCATATAGGTCGAAATATCAAGTT